GTTTGATTTATTTATTCTCAATTATTTGAAACATATAAGGCCTTTGTTGTCACAAAAATTAAAAAGAAAAGAAAAAAGAAACACATAAGGCCTTCGAACAAAATGCATATCTACAGTACTCGCAAATGATTAGTCTTGTATTGTATTGGTGCCAAATTACCAATAATTATTTGACTTTTTCCTATCTTAGAATAAAGTGTGGGAAAAAAAGCCAGCTAAAAAAACTGTAGCTTAATGGCCCATTCTCAAAAAGATGGGTCAGGAATCTGGGCTGAAAGCCCAACTGGAATGCGTCATATTCTTGATATTTTTTGTTTCAATTTTAGTTTGGGCTCCCTCCAAGAATCATAGTGAAATGAGCAAATGAGAAAGCAGCATGAAACCGACGTGTAATGATCAGAAAGAGACCAAACGACAGGAGCGCCAACCGTCACGAACGGTCAAGCTTCTGGCAAAAATGTACCAACCTCCGAGCTCTCAAGCAAGTCCACGCTTCCATGGTCGTCAACGGCTTCAATTCAAACTATTCTGCTATCAGAGAACTCATCTTCGCTGGTGCTATGGCTATTTCAGGCACCATAGATTATGCCCACCAACTGTTCGTTCATGTTGCTGAACCAGATACCTTCATGTGGAACACCATGATCAGAGGCTCAGCTCAGAGCCAGAGCCCATTAAATGCGATTGTTCTGTATACCCAGATGGAAAATCGGCATGCAAGGCCCGATAGCTTCACTTTCCCGTTTATACTCAAGGCCTGCACTAAGCTTTCTTGGGTTAAGATGGGTATGGGGATTCATGGGAAGGTTGTGAGGTTCGGATTTGAGTCGAATACGTTTGTTAGAAATACCCTTATTTATTTCCATGCTAATTGTGGGGATTTGAAGATTGCGAGCGAGCTTTTTGATGCTTCGGCGAAGAGGGACGTTGTGCCATGGTCAGCTTTGACAGCAGGATATGCAAGAAGGGGGAAGTTGGATCAGGCCAGGCAACTTTTCGACGAAATGCCTGTTAAAGATTTGGTTTCTTGGAATGTGATGATTACAGGGTATGCAAAGCAAGGGGAGATGGAGAGTGCAAGGAAGCTCTTTGATGAGGTTCCGGAAAGAGATGTGGTGACTTGGAATGCAATGATTGCAGGTTATGTACTTTGCGGGTCGTATGAGCAGGCACTGCAGATGTTCGAGGAGATGAGCAGTCTTGGAGAAAAGCCTGATGAAGTGACCATGTTGAGTCTTTTGTCTGCTTGCACAGATATTGGAGATTTAGATGTTGGGCAAAAGATACATTCTGCCCTTCTGGAGATGGGTCGGGGAGATATGAGCATCATACTTGGAAATGCGCTTATAGATATGTACTCTAAGTGCGGGAGTATTGAAAGGGCACTTGAAGTGTTCCAGAGTATGAGGGACAAGGATGTGTCTTCGTGGAATTCGGTGATAGGAGGTTTGGCATTTCATGGCCATGCTGAGGAATCAGTTAATCTGTTTAAAGAGATGCGAAGGTTGAAAATCAGGCCAAATGAGATCACGTTTGTTGGAGTCTTGGTTGCTTGCAGTCATGCTGGGAAGGTTGAAGAGGGGCGCAGATATTTCAATCTCATGAAGAATAAGTACAAAATTGAGCCAAACATAAAGCATTATGGGTGTATGGTGGATATGTTAGGGCGTGCTGGGCTACTAGATGAAGCATTTGAATTCATAGAAAAAATGGAGATTGAACCCAATGCCATTGTTTGGAGGACTCTGCTTGGGGCTTGTAGAGTTCATGGAAATGTCGAGCTGGGAA